GTTTAGAGATATATATTAAAAAAATTATTCATGTCAAAAAAAAAAAACTTGTTCAATTTCTAAAGAAAGTCTTACATAATATCTTTAAAAATCACTATAACAATTTATAAAAAAGGTTTTATTGTTTGTGAGACACAATTGACTAAATAAACAACTGATTTCCTTGTTTGTCAATTAACGAACAAAATGAGTTACTAAAATTAATAAAATTTTTTGCCAGAAAGAAGGAATTTGCGAGTTGTTATTTATCATTTGTATATAAAAGATATACTTTACTTTCAATAAATTGAAAAGTTTTGATTCAATGAGTGTCAAAATAAAACATTGAATAAAAAAGCATGACTATAGTATTTTTTTATATATATTGTTAGGAGACTTACGTCTACAACAACAACATTTCCATTCAATTTGGCAAATGTTTCATTTAAGATTGAATTATCCCACAAGAATCTTTTAAATACCAAAATTGGATCTGCTAGTAGATAAAAAGAAACATTCTGGAGATAACACTCACAGTTTGTAGTCAAGTTTATGTGAATCTGCACTTCTTCACTAAGAAAAAAATTACTTAAATATATAAAAATTAGATAATTAATCTGATGTTCAAAAAAATCTAAAACTATATGTGGTAGAAAACATACACACAAAAAAAATCCACAACAAAAGCATAAATAAAATGTAATAAAAAATAAATGAACAAACTAATATCTGATGTGTGTGTATATATATATATATATATATATATATATATATATATATATATATATATATATATATATATATATATATATATATAAATTTTTGTTTTCTTCTATAATTTTACCTTTGATATCTCAAGCAGAGGTTAGTTAAAGGTAGAAGTAGATGTAAAGATGATAGGGTTATTGTTAATGTTTACCTGTAAAGTGGATTTATTACATAGGTACACACTTTTTATTATTATTTTATTTCTTGTGTTCAACCTTTCGCTATCTAACATTAGTTTGTTTTGCCTACTGTTAAAATAGTTTTACTTTACTGATTTGAAATAGAGTTATATATATTTACATTAATCTTCCCCGTACTTTATTAATAGCTTTTTTATTGTTTATTTTTACTGTTTAATAAATATTATTTTTATTTTACTATTTTATTATTTTAATTATATTTATATTAATAATAAATACTATTATTATTATTATTGCTGACCATTAAATTATAATTTTAAAAAGAGTTTAATTTGTTGCAATTAAGGGCGGAATAAATTTATCTTTTATCCGCATTACAAAGCTCAAATTGTAAATTATTGAATGATTATTTTTGAAATAATTGTCTGTTCTTTCAGATTTTAACTACTTTTAACACTGCTCTAAAAAATTATGTAGTATACTTTAATAAAGATTGTTGTATTTTATTTTTGAGAGAATTTGCAAAATCTTACTCATTAATAAAATTTTTTAAATATTGTACTTACTATAAGTATGTGTTAGCGTTTTTTGCATTATTGTAGGAATCTTTTACAAACGTTTATATACCACAGTTATAACTGGCCTATGTTAATCCTATCAGCTTTTTCCACAGAGCTTATTTTTACATGGTCTTATATTATGTTTGTTTAAAATATAAACGGTGGGGTTCTTCAATATCTAATTTGTACATCTGTTTAAACAGATTCGGGATTTAAACATGTTTTTTATATTTTATGATAACTTGATCTTACCATGCAACCGGTCTTTGTTATTTGATAAGAAATAAACCTTATTATTTTTTTTATCTTTTTAAAAAGCTGTTTTAAAAAAGTTATTTCAATTTTAGTCTTTTAAATTGTCTTTATTGCATATACTGTATTAAACCAACATGGATATTGTCACTATATACAAATAATATTATCGATAATGCTCCCTTAGTTATAATTAAATTCCATTTCATTTTTTCACAATTTAATTTTTGTTTATTTAAATCATCAATTTTGTTTTTAATTTTTTTGTTCAGCATTATTAGTTACACAAAATCAATGAAGTAAGCATTGTTTTTGTTTGAATAAACAATCGTTATTTCAAACATTAATGATTTAACAACAAGGTTTTTATCTGTGTTTGTTTAACTGTGTTATAAAAACAGCTGTTGCATTGGTAGCAGTAACAACAGCAGCAGTAGTAGCAGCATCAGCAAGAGCTGCAGGTAAACTAACTTTTTGTGATTATACTTCTAGGTTTTACTTCATTTATTCTCGCTTTAGGTATATTTGCAGTGCTTTTTAAACTTATCTCACAAAGAAAAAATGACCCACGTCCTATAAGGCACAAAGGGTGTTGGACTAAATTTGTTTCTAGACTCCCTTTTCTTTCTTATTATAGGAAAGAAGTGAAAAAAAACATTGCGCAACATCTATAATTAGTATTTTTGTTGTTTGTTAATCCTATAGTTGTAGATATAGTTAAATCGTTTTTGTAGTTATATAATTTTTCTCACCAACCGATTAAATGTAATGAGTGAGTTAAAGTAAAGAGTGGTTCTTTAGGAGAGAGTCTAAAATTTATTGCAGCTATAAATTTCAAAAAACACAAGAAGAAATATCGGCGTAGGTGTATTTGATTCACGTTTATTTAAAATCAACTTTAAATTGCCACCCTCCCCTAAGCCCGTGAATCAAGTACACCATCGCCGAAATGTAATCACTGTTAGAAATACATATGAAGACCATACAATTGAAACCATAAATGTCTACTTTTTGAAAATTTCAACTTTTATGTAGTTTTATAGTATTTTAGTGCTAAGCTGTTTTAATTTAAAAACTTATAACAAAACAACTATGTTTTAAGGTTCAAGGGTCATTTAGAAAAACAAGCAGCTTTGAAATACTATTGTTGCCTAATGGTTACCTGGTAAAAAAAACAGTTGTCCAAATTATTTATAACTAAAAAAATCATACAAAAAGCGTGAGTCACATAACTAACTTTTATCTTTAAGAAAAACGTTAGAGGATGCACATACGTTAGAGGATGTACATGCGGCCGAGAGAGGAGGTCGCAAGGGACAGTTTGTCCCTAACGGCTAATATTCAAGGGGTTCCAAATAAAAGGTAGGTAGCTAATTAATAAAAAAAAAAGTCCTTCATATAAAACATAGGGAAAATTTTATAATTAAGGGCGCCAATCAGGATTGCTGTCCCAGACAACGTTACATTCACAGAAAACATTAAGAAAAAAAACAGTTAAAGAAGGAAAAAAAGAGTTTGCTTAAGATTTAAATTAAAAATATCATGTAACAAGAAGTCATGTAAACGTTTTAATTTAAATTGTTTTAAAATTACAGCAAAAAAAGGCAATTAAAATATCATATTTCAACAAATAAACATTAGGCTGACCCATTTTTTTTACATAGATAATTTATTTATATACAAAAATTTATATCTACAAATACATACATACATACATACATACATACATACATACATACATACATACATACATACATACATACATACATACAAACATACATACATACATACACCCATACATACATACAAAAACCAGATATAAAAATTGAGTGCTCTGTTCTGTAACATGTACTAAATACAGATAAAACTTATCTAAATTCTTCAAAAAAGAAAAATAACCTTCTAGGCTCAGATAATAAGATTATGTGTTTTTAAACGTATAAAAAAATCACGCTCAGCTTAAAATGTTAAATTAACATCTTAAAAAAACACAACTTTAAACTTTTAAATATATTTTTAATCTCATTTGAGTTATTTTCTTATGCAACCAAGATAAACCTATTACATTTTAAGTCATAAAAAGAGTTTAAAGTTGTGATTTATACGGAATTATGTGTAAATAAACAGTCATCAAATTAAAAAAGTTAGTTTCTACAAGCCGTACCCATTTTAAAAATTTTATTTTCTCAAGTGTTTACTGCGCTTGCCTATAATAATTTGTCTTTTCTAACGATTAGCATTAAACTGTTTAAACATAGTCCACAGCGAAACAATAATTGACGAGGGGTAACAGCAGAAATCTTTAAAGGATTCTCAAACACACTTAAAACTGTTTTTTGGGGGAGGAATAAAGGTTTACCTTGGTGGAAGATAACGTTAAGTTTTAGCATTCTTTATCAGACTTTTATTATAGTTATCCATATGAAAATTGTTTTTAACCCCGATACACACCATTGTTGATTAATTTAATGTCAAGAAACCATGTTGATCATCCTGTAGTTCAAAAAACACATAAAGAGTTATAATTCTCCCTCATCTTTTGCTTTCTTTACTGTTAAAATAGCTCCTCACAAAAAATGGTCCTTTCTGTTATAGGGTCTGAGGGTAAATTTTTCATTTTCTGGAAATTTAAGGCCTAAAGAAGGTGTTCTGCCCAAAATTATCATTTTGGGCAGAACACCTTCTTTAGGCCTAAAATGTCATTTACACAATTATAATTCTAATGCAGCTGTTTCATTCAGAATGGAGCTAATGATGATTGTACACATGGAGCTAATGATGGTTGTATAAATGGAGATAATGATGATTGTATACATGAGCTAATGCAACTTTTTCAAACTTTAATTAATTACGAAAACCCGTTTGCTCTTGCTTTTCTGCAATATGCCGTTGATGCTTATGTCAAAATTGAGGGATAGCGCCTTGCTTTTATTAAAAATAACCAAAACAATGTTTAGAAGTGAACGATGCAACCCGGTGGGAAATGAGCTAGCGACTAGCTAACGACTAGCTAGCTCTATTGCGATTTTGAAGCGATTTTTTTTTTCTTATTTTATTTTTTGCAAATGTCTTTAACATCTTTAAAATTTCGAATTTTAGTGGTGAGTCTAATATAATTATGAAAATAATTGAACTTTAAACATTGCGATTTTGTAGCAATGTGTCGCTAGCTACATATTGTAGCTTTGTAGCTAGCTACAAAATATCTACAAATCTATAGCTGGTTGATAGCTACATATCAAAATTTTTTAGACATCGATTTTATTACGATATGACGCTAAGTACAATAGCCAGTGGATCTTAAGCTTGTTAAGCTAGCTGTCCTCATAGCCAAATTGCTGTCTTTATCTTTAAAAATATCGATAGCTTTTCGCTAACTTAAAAAAGCCAGCGATCCTCGTGGCCAAATCGCTGTCTTTATCGTAACAATTATAGCTAGCTATTCGCTAGCCGACTTCCCACCGGGAATTTATTGCGTAAACATGTAATTAATCATCTATATTAGATAATATATTCAATATTAGATAATATAATTACAACTAACGTTTTTAACTTATCTTTAAAAAAAGGTATTATTAAAAGTGACGTCTCTGATCACTTTCCTATTTTTTTCTCCATAAACACAGACATCAAAAAAATTTTACACTAAAATAAACCTTTCATTAAACGTTTTTTTACGGAAGTGAATTGCATTGCTTTTAAGGAACAATTATCTTTACTTCATTGGAAACACATAGATTCTAATGATGCTAATTTAGCCTATAATTTGTTTTTAAAAACATTTTTTGAAACTTATGCTATTAATTTTCCTCAAAATAAAATACTAAAAAAAAATAATGATTTCACGTCACCA